AATGTCGGATCATACTGAGGTTCAGGAGTTCAAGACCAGGGCTTACGACCAGCCTGGCCAACCCTGGCTGATACACCCGGCCTCTACTAAAAATACAAAAATTAGCTGGCGGCGTCGGTGGCATGTGGCCTGTACTCTCGCCCCAGTTACTCGAGAGGCCCTGAAAAGGCAAAGAGAATCGGCTTGAACGCTGGGGAAGGGCAGAGGTTGCAATGTCGTGCTCGAGATCATGTCATCTCGCCAACCCCCAGCCTGGGCGACAGAGCAAGAACTCATCTAAAAAAAAAAAATCGCCCAGGACACGGCTCGGCTCAGCCTGTAACCCACCACGCACCTTTGGAGGCCCAAGCGTGCTAGATCACCCATGCGCTCAGCGAGTGGCAAGACCCAACCTGAACCATATGGTGACCTAAGCTCTGTTCTATTAAAAATCACAAATCCTAGCTGGGCCTGGTGGGGTGTCACCCTGTAGCTCCCCACGTTACTGGAGAGGCTCGGAGACAGCCGCGACATTACTTTCGAACCCTGCGAAGGCGGGCCACGTGCACCGTAGAGCCCAAGGACTTCCCTTTCTCCACCCCACCCCAGTCTGGGTAACCAGAGGAAGACTTCCATCCTCAAATAAATTTAGAAATAAAGCTACTGGCCGGGCGCCCGGTGGCCTTCAAGGGCCTGTATCCCCAGGGCACTTGGGGAGGGGCTGAGACGGGGCGGATCACGAGGTGAACAGGAGATTCGAGAACCGATCTCGGCTATACACGGTGAAACCCGTCTCCCTACTAAAATACAATAAGCTAGCCGGCGCGTCCGGTGGCGGGCAGCCTGTAGTCCTTCAGCTACTCCGGGACGGCCTGGGGGCAGCGAGGATGCGTGAACCCGCCGGAGGCGCCGGAGGCTTCGGGCAGTGAGGCCTGAGATCCGGCTCCACCTGCACTCCAGCCTGGCGACCACGAGCGAGACTCACCGTCTGCAAAAAACAAAAAAAGAAAGAAAAAAGCTAAACCGCAAAAAACCAAAACCAAAATAATCATCCTTGAAGTTTCCTTCTATCTCTTAGTTTTTTTTTTTTTGGAGACGGAGACTCGGAGTCTCACTCTGTTGTCCAGGCTGGAGTACAGTGGCGTGATCTCAGCTCACTGCAACTTCTGCCTCCCGGGTTCAAGCAAGTCTCCTGCCTCAGCCTACCGAGTAACTGGGACTACAGATGTATGCTGCCACGCCCGGCTACTTTTTTGTATTTTAGTAGAGACGGGGTTTCGCCATGTTGGCTGGTCTCAAACTCCTGAACTCAGACAATTCGCCCATCTCAGCCCACCAAAGTGCTAGGATTACAGGCGTGAGCCACCCCGCCTGGCCTCCCCTAGGCTCTTTACAGAGGCTCCTGGCAGGTCTGAATTCTCCTTAACCTCAAGCTGGGAGCATTGCTCCATGTATAACAGTGATAAAATGGCAAATCAAAATGTCCAACAGTAAGGGATTCATGATATATCTTATGGTATATACATACAGTGGAGTAATTGGCAGCCATTGCTATTTGAATACTAAATGAAATAGGAGAAAATGTTCATAATAAATAGTTCTGATTTTTTTTTGGCTAGGGTCTGGCTCTGTTGCCCAGGCTGGAGTGCAATGGTGTGATCAGGGTTCATTGCAACCTTGACCTCCTGGGCTCAAGTGAACCTCCTACCTCAGCTTCCCGAGTAGCTGGGACCACTGGCATGTGCCACCATGCCTGGCTAATTTTTTTGTAGAGATGGGTTTTGCTCTGTTGCCCAGCAAGCAGTCCACTCACCCTGGCCTCCCAAAGTACTTGGATTACAGGCATGTGCCACTGTGCCCAACCCATAACATATTGTTAAAGCAGGGTTTTTTTTTGTTTTTTTTTGTTTTTTTTTTTGAGACAGAATCAGCTCTGTCGCCTGGGCTGGAGTGCAGTGGTGTGATCCCAGCTTACTGCAACCTCTGCCTCCCAGGTTCAAGCGATTCTTCTGCCTCAGCTTCCCGAGTAGCTGGGACTACAGGTGCATGCCACTACGCTCGGCTAATTTTTGTAGCTTTAGTAAAGACGGGGTTTCAACATGTTGGCCAGGATGGTCTCGAACCCCTGACCTCGTGATTTGCCCGCCTCAGCCTCCCAAAATGCTGCGATTACAGGCGTGAGCCACCGCGCCCGGCCGAAGCAGGTTTTAAATACACTGTGTGATCCCATCTGAAATGCGTTTACACCTACACACCATAAATATATAAAGAGTAGGGCCGGGCGCAGTGGCTCACGCCTGTAATCCCTGCACTTTGGGAGGTCAAGGTGGCCGGATCACCTGAGATCAGGAGGTCGAGACCAGCCTGGCCAACATGATGAAACCCCAGCTCTACTAAAAATACAAAAAATTAGCCAGGTGTGGGGGCGGGTGCCTGTTATCCCAGCTACTCAGGAGGCTGAGGCAGGAGAATCGCTTGAACCCGGGAGGCGGAGGTTGCAGTGAGCTGAGATTGTGCCACTGCACTCCAGCTTGGGCGACAAGAGCAAAACTCCGTCTCAAAAAAAAAAAAAGAGTAGAAAGATGTAGCCCAACATGTTAACAAGGATTACCTGTGATTGGTGGGGCTGCAGGTAATTGTTCCTGTTTTTATTTTCTTTTTGATGCTTTTATGTTTTTCAAGATTTTCTGCAATGAGCATGTGTTACTTAGTTTTAGTAAAAGCATATATTATTTTTATAATTAGAAAAAAAGGCTAAAGTCATTGAAAAATCTATGCCTCTCAAGATCTAGCTGGCCTAGTCCTAACTCTCAGGGACAGATGCTGAACCACTGTGGAAGGCCTTCAATTAGGGCTTCTGCAGAGGTGGGGCTTTGAGGAGACAAGAGGTCTGGGGCAGAGATCTGAGTTGGGGTGTCCAGGAATTTACAATCCTCACCTTGGCCTGTGCCACTTCTTTGCTGTTGAGCACAAAGAGGACATCCTGAGTATGAAGCCGAGACAAGGGCAAATCCAGAAGGGAGATGTACTTGCGCAGCACATTCACAGACTGAAGTGTGAGCACAGAACACCCTGGTTGGAAAGGAGACAGGGAGAAGTGATGAGCCTTGAGGTCTCCAGACAGATTTTCTCCTGAGCGTCCTCCCTCTACCCAGTGGCTCAGGGCAGGGCAGGACAGTGGCCACAGCATTGCCAGGTGTTTCTGTGGCACCAAAGCTGCTCTGTGCCCATCATTCTTGCAGCTAGAATGAGTAAAAGGGCCACAGAAGACCTGGCTGGCTACCCTCTACCCTGCCGTGTGCCCTACCAAAAAAAGGTTGGTTGCTAGAGGTTGAGATCTGGCTACCTCAAAGCCAAAGGAAAGGTGAAGGAGACAGGAATTACTGTATTGGGAGGTTAGAGACCTGGTTCTAGCTCTGTCAGTCAAAAACTGACAGGGTTGGCAAAGTCCTTTAACCTCTCTGAGACTCAGGTATTTTTGTTTGTTTTTGTTTTTTTTTAGATGGAGTCTCGCTCTGTTGCCTAGACTGGAGTGCAGTGGCATGATCTTGGCTCACTGCAAGCTCCGCAGCCTCCGCGGCGGTTCACTGCCATTCTCCTGCCCTCAGCGCTTCCAAGGTAGCTGGACTGCAGGCGCCTGGCACCATGCCTGGCTAGTTTTTTGTATTTTTAGTGAGACGGGTTTCACCGTACCCAACCCCAATTTTACGTCAAGCGGATAAGAGGTCTCGGACTCTAAACCCTGACCTCGCTGATCACCGGCGCACCATTGCCTGCCACAGTGCTCCTGGCTCACTTACAAGGTGAATATAGACACTAAGCTACCAGCATGCCAGTCTCAGTTTTTACGCTAATCTGCCGCTAAAAGATTGGCGTAAGAGCCAGACCTCGACAACGCAATCAATATGGCAGATTGATGAGTCGTCGAAGACAAGACTGCCGCCTCTCACAGGATTACATACTAAGAATCACACATCGCTGGGCGCTGCAAGTGGCTCAGTGCCGTGTATCGCTACGCACTTTATAGGAACCGAACCAGCACGGCCCTCCCGAGCAAGCGGAGCCGTGGACAACATCAAAACCTGGCGGAACAGTCACTGAAGCTTCCAAGACCACGCCATCTTGACCGGAACATGGGAGAACCGACTGCACAATCTAAATAATACAACAAAAACACAAAAAAAAAAAAAATTAGCGCCGGAGGGTGGGTGGCGGCAGTGTCTGTACATCCCAGCTACCGGGGGAGGTGAGGCGGAGGGAGAAGGTGTGAATCCAGGAGGTGGAGGTTGGTAGTTGAGCCAGATCCGTCCATTGCACTCTAGTCCTGGGCAACAATAGAGCGAAAATCTCCATCTCAAAAAAACA